TGCCATGGTGCGGACGTGCTCGTAACTACAGGCAGTGAGAGATAAGGGCGCTACAAGGTTGAGGCTGTTCAGACAAGAGACGTGAATCACCTCAGTAACGGATCGGTGAAGTAAGAGCATGGGACCCAATAAATTAACCGTGTTCTGTTCCTAATATACTTCAGCCTAGCAGGCTGGGTATTTTGTTTCCTTCCCGGTTGGGGCTGGCAGCATAGAGAACAGAGGAGAGAGCAGCGTTACATCAAGCACCTTATCAGCAACGCGCCTGTACTCGGGTATTACGACCCAGCACAGCCGCTGGAGGTACAGTGCGACAGTAGCCAGGACGGTATAGGTGATGTTCTCTTACAGAATGGAAAGCCACTGGATTTCCGCAGTCGAGCACTCACCGTGACAGAGCAGCACCATGCGCAAATTGAGAAGGTATTTTACGCCATGGAGCGTTTCAACGATTATACTTGCGGAAGAAAGATAACTGTGTACACCGATCCTAAACCGCTTGTGTCGGTAGCCAGTAAACCGCTGCATTTCGTGCCTCGCCGTCTTCAGCGTACGCTTATCTGGCTTCAAAAGTACGACGTGGATGTTGTGTACACGCCTGGTGCACATATATTCATCGCGGATACACTGTCAAGAGCTCATCTGCCGGTACCCGAGCATAATCCGGAAGAGGTCGAAGCAGTAAACTTAGTACAGCACCAGGCAGTGACAGAAGATCGCCAAAAGGAAATAAGACGCCACACAGAGGAAGATGAAACGCTTTCAGCTTTGCAAGACGATATTCTATATGGGTGGTCAGTGACAAAGAAGCAGCTGCTGAAGGAACCAACGCCCTATTTTAATTTTTGGGATGAACTCTCTGTCTATGATGGTTTGCTGTTTAGGGGGAGTCGTATTCTGATCCCGTCATCGCCCCGGGGAGAATTGCTGAAATCCGTTCATCGCGCTTACATGGGTGCCAACTATACCATTAACCGAGCAATAGAAGTGATCTATTGGCAATGAATGACAGGTCAAAACAGGGGTTATGTATTGAATTGTGAAGCACGCCGTTCACACGAAATCTGACAGACGAGGGAACTAACGATGCTGCATGATGTCCCTGATCGACCGTGGTAGTAGGCAGCGGTGGATTTCTTCTGTGACAATGGGAAAGATCACTTACGGTGATTATTTCGAAATGGATCCACTCACCATAGAAACAGTAATCAACAAGCTCAGATAACAATTCGCGAGGCACGGCAAACCAGAGGAGCTGATCTCCGACAATGGGCCCCAATTTACCAGCGCTGTTTCAGGCCTCCGCAACCAAGTGGGAATTCGTGCACCAGCAAACCAATCCATACCACAGTCAATCGAATGGAAAGACAGTCGGCAATGAAGCAGGCCAAGCGACTGTTATCGAAAACTAGAGCTACTGGCGAAGATCCATACCTCATGTTACTGGAGAGTCGCAACACTCCAACGGATATCGGTTTGAGCCCAGTGCAGCGCATATACAGTCGAAGGAATGGAACTCCGATGCTGACATATGGCAGACTTCTGCACCCAGTTTCGCCCCAATGGGATAGATTACAGAACAATGAGACGATGAATGACCAATCAGAAACGGTACTATGATCGCGGTGCAAGAGTACTACCTGAGCTAACAGTGGGCTCAACCAACCCGGATAGTCAAGAGCGGTGGAAGAAAAGTGTGGTGACTGCGAGGGTCAGTGCCAGGTCATACGAAATAAATCTTAGGGGGAAAACGTTCAAAAATCGACTGCATTCGAGGCGACATCGGAGATAACAAGGTGGATTGGAAATGGAGCACTCTACGGAGTGGAGAAAGAAAACCACGGCCGCAGATACAGCGAATACGACGAAGTGGCAAGGTGTACAGGGTGCATAGCAATATGGAGGCGCAAGGACACGAAAAAAGGAAGGATGATATGTGAGTGTCAGATCAGAGTGAACGGATGGACCAATCGAGCGAGCCAGACAAACAATAGGGTACGAGTGTAGAGGACTGGATTACCGTACGCGGATTGGCAGACATCCGTGTGAGTTATTCATCATTTGTTTAACTGAATCAAAGAATGAACCTCATCGACCCAGAAGGGCCGTTAGTTATGGATGTGAACGTGCAACTTATATTGAAGAGTTAGGCCTGTCAAACATGCCGTAATATTCGCTGAGTTGGTTTTGTTGAATAAACGGTTATCCCTGAAAGACGGAGTACATCAACACTTAACGTCACGGGTGGAAGTAAATTGATTTACCACGTGCGATTCGGACTTGGCCGGTAAGTGTTGACAGGTCCATGCTGCTTAATAAGTTGTCTGTGAATGGCATTCAACTACTTCGTGAATTGCTCTCAGTTTACCAAACTGAACGGTAAAATAGCCCCCACTTTTCGTGATGACTGGGACGTTTTACAAAAAGCAGTCCTCTCCTCTTCTATTATCTTCATACATCGAAACCCCTCCAATTCATCCTTACACTGACGACGTAATCCTAAGCAGCACTGATCCAACTGCTGAATCATCAACGGCTCTCCAAAACGGGTTGAATAGGCTTCAGCAGTAGTCATCGTCCCGACCCCTTATTTTCAAGGCTTTTTAAATGCCGATGTAACTTTCTCGTTCCTCCGCAACGACATACATGACTTTGGCAAACATTTCTCACCCCATGGTGGAGAGCGACCACAACATACCCATCTCATCCACTGTTAAGTACGTTGGTGAATATTTATCTCATAAGCTATCAAGGTGAACACATCGAGGAAAGGTTCCGTGGGGTGTGAACATTAACATTTTATGTCATGAGACTCATGCGTTCAGTACCATGCTCTTTAATTTATTTATTGGTGATTGCCTGTATTCCTCCTCACCGGCTGCACTGAGCACCTATCATTTTTCCTGATCTCCAACAAAAAGGGCTTCACATTAATTGTGCGTTCTACTAAGCCCATTTCCAGGTGCAGTGGATTACCCAGTCTCTGGTTGACGTTATCATTACTACGCATTTTGGTGCAGGTGACAACTTTTCACTAAAGATCTTAAATGATCATTTTCACCCCTGAGGATTTATCAGAAACTACCTCCTGTTCGCCTATTTGCACTAAATTTAGGGCTTTGTTTTCTCGCTACGTTGCCGTTTTATTGTGGACTGCAAAAAACGTATCAGCGCCACGCATGAACGTATGCCTGAGTGGAGTGTATGCACACATATTTGTTACCTTTTGTTTGCAGTTTTCTGTCAATGTAACGCCTACTCACATCTGCAGTGATAGTGAAAAATGCTGAAAGCCTATTTTGAGTTGCTTTGAACAGGGTAAGAGTGGAGCAGAATAATTCAGTGAAAATATTAAGAACAAGAGTGAGCACACAATTAACGTTGATTCAGCGGCCGCGCTATGCCTCCAGACTCACTCTGGAGGAAAGCATCACCTGCCTAATCAAAACGCTCAATTTTGTCATACCATTTGCTGGCGTCTATCGATCGCCTCGCGCCTCGACCAAATAGGAGAAACGCCGATAAGCAAGGCAAGCAGAGGAAACCGATCCACAGTCAGGTGAAGGATGCAAAGTATTCAGCACGTGTCTCAAGCTCAGCGCAGCACTATAGGGTCAAATACTGAACAGAAATCAGCCTATGGCAGCATTGATCAATATTTCCGGAAGGCTATGGGATCCGCGGAAACTGACTTTGTCGGCAGGTCACCCGTCATAACAGCAATCGAAGGATTCACGCAGAGGAAATAAGAAATAGCGAGGCCTGACGCATATTGCCCAAAAGATAAAAATTTTAGGATTCGAACAATATTCGTTATTATTTATTTATAGCGTACGACTGCCCGTGAAAATGTTTTGCTAATGAAGTTTGCGACCGGCTCTGCGTTTCGCTCCGCTGGGATGAGCCAGTAAGATTTCCTAAGTACTACCGCACATCGTTGGTTCGCAAATCAAATTCTATCGACCGGGTGGTAGTCAGACTCTGATGCAGTTCGGACCAATCACATTCGTCCGAGTTTCAGAGCTGACTACGTAGCCTCGATGCAACCTTGGATCAATCGAGTGCCGGTCGTTAAACCACGGGCGATCGTGGTGGCTTGACTGTATCATTGGCCGACATGCTGATGATACTTGAGTGTTGGCACCGGTGAATCTAGTTGTTTTTCGAAATGTTGGCTAGCACCACAGTGGAGAACAAAGAGAAGCATCCCCTGCACTCATACACATAGATTATGGATAGAAAGTTCAGAATAGAAGGTGAACTATTTAGCACACTCTTCAAAGGCACGCAAAGCCGACTGGTACAGTGGTAACCTTGAAATCAAGGAATACTTCAATGGCAGGCTACCTGCGTTTTACGCTTTTCAAGTACCCGATGAAGCGCAAATGTATTATGGCCATTACATAGTCTATGGAAGAGGAAGTCAACTTGGTCATGGATGACATGAATTACTTGAGAACCAGTTAGAATCCCCAGGATGGTATTTAGAAGTAGAAAACGGACCATGGTATTAAGACCAATGATGTAGTGTGTCTCGGATAACATTCTTCGATAAGTTGTAAAGATGGAAAATGACGGTTTATAACTATCAATCGGAAGGTCGCATCCTAATGTCTCGTATAGTATCGAATAAAGCGACCAGACAAGTAACCAGTGAGTCGTTTGCTTTGGGGGCACTAGGTAGCGTCGGATCATATCAAGGAGGTGAATTACAAAGCCACTGGTTCTTATGAATTTGGTGGGTTAAGAGGTGATAGTGAAACAGCGATCCGGTTGGAATGCCTTTCGAACTGCATCGCCGAAAGGTCTAGTCAAGGTGTCGGAGTGATTCTCAAGTCCATCTTTCTGAACCATGGTTTCACCTGGCATACTAATTTAGTCCGTGAGCAGTGCATGACCAACGCCAATAGTGTGGTGTGGGTTAATGTTATATAGATCTAATGCAATGTGGCCGTTGAATGTGCCGAATGGTCTCAAGTAAGAATCAGTTGTGGTGGCGTAGAGAAACGAACACAAAAGGAAAACATGTATAAGACGGGGAAATTCGGTGAATAATTTACTTGTGTAAAGGTAACCAAGTGAGTGAAAGCGCTTATACACCAAATAGGACTGGATGCGAAGTATCGTACTGATCCGAGAAACGATAAAAAGTAGGACTGCAGTGGGCGTTTACGCAGCAAGATGGAATGAAAATAGGCATTAAATAGGGAAACCCATAAGAGTGGATAAGATAGCGAAACCGGTCGTACATACAAGCCGGACAGGTGAAATCACCGGAGCAAAACCGTTTAAAAATTTTTAAAGGTATAGATAAGGAGTGGGATAAACTTGGCGGGAAGCTTCAGTCAAAGTGAGCAATGAAAACAGTTCATATAGACAATCAGCAATCACTTTCGATAAGTATGGTAGGGCGCAACTTCTGGAGAAAACTCCAATCTTTGATCGATTTGAAGTCATACGCGTAGAGTAATGTCAATCTAAAGGAAAAGTTGAGTAAAAAGTGGTTAGGCGTGCGATAGAAAGGTCGATATGCACCCTGGACACACATGAAAGATGCTCTCGTGAATATTTTCAACTCCATCGAAATATGCTTACCGCTCCGAAAGCCAGTGACTCTAGAGTCAAGTTCTCTCAACTCGAAGAATTCTCTCTGAGGATACGTACCCAATGACAGAGAACAAGAATTGAAGTTCACAGCCACAAGCATGGTACGTGTGCACAACTTTGTTAGACAGGTAGTGAGCAAACAAAGGTGATAACGTGGATTGTAAGCCTCATCATTCGGTGCCGTTGGGGAATCAACACTGATAACAGATAACGTAGTTCATACAACGTGGTCACTCCGGTGAAAATCTAAGACTACAAACACAGATACTTCAAATGCGCAAGTATGCTTACCAATAGTTGTGAAAGATGGGTGTCATCTGACGCTTAATCACACACATAGGACTAGTAGGAGTGAGGTGACGATCAAAGTAACCATCGACGATGCGAGGCACAGACTCGCAGTTTGAATGACGTCGTATCACATGGAATGGTTGTAAGCAAGTTGGCAAACACCCCCAGTTTGCATGTTTTCCATCGTTAACGAACAGTAATCGACTCGAAAAGCGATGCAGACCTCACACTCTTATCCGCAAAATGCAAGGATCTTCAGAGATGGTGAGAAGCGTTTAATTAGAAAGTATGGGTCACAGAGTAAGGACAAGGCTTGGAGCAACCCCCCGACATGATCCAGTTGCGTGATCGCTTTCTGTGCGAACCGCATTCGCTGGTCTATCATGTAACCGGGCGGGCTTACTGTAAGTTGGATAGTGCGATTACTGGATCAACTAATCTGAATGATGGAACGCCACCGCAGCTGTAATATGACAGTCTTGTAACCGGACAGTTAATATCCACACAGTAGTTGGAAACCTCAGGGTTGTAGTCTACTGCGACACCGCATAAAACACGTCCCATTAGAGTTGTGACACAGAACTAATCTTCATCGGACGTGATACAGGTACTCACATGGTACAACATATAAGGTTTTCTTCCGATTTCCAAAGGTACAAATGAACAGCAGAAAATAACCCTTTTATTCCATCATGCCGAGAATAGCTTTCAGATATGGTACACAGTGTCTTAATGAGGTGAAGGGGTCGCAGGTCTAACCAAGCGAAACACACGACTGCGATAAATGAGTACCACAAGCGCGATGGATGGATCGAAGGGTAATTTCAAGTATTCCGCACACGTGGAGCTGAGGGTCAATGCAATTGAGCAGACGAAAGCACCCCGAAGGTAAATGGAATGGGTGTACCTTGATGTGTTAGAAGAGGGGAAGGAAGCGACTATACTCAGATGCATTGCCGACGGTGAGCGTGTATAATGGCACAAAATATCATTAAAAGGACCTTGAATGTCGATGGAAAAGATTCTGACAGTACTTCAGTTTTGATCCGAGTGACATTTTAGTGCCAAAGCTTTACGTTTTTATGTTTTCCGTCTGTTAATGTTTACTGCCACGGTTGCATGGCCCAAGTCAGGTAGGTTGAAATGATTTAACGTTTGGGTTGAAGAAGATAAACTAGAATTGTACTGTTGTGGGTATTATGATAGGGCTGAAAAGTGGAGAGCACACTACCCTAGCAGAGAGATAAACGCACAGTGTACGTTGGGTTAGCAACAGTACATAAATAAACTATCAAAAAAGAACAATCACGCAGGATATTCCCTCGGCAAATTTCAAAATACCAAGAAGGAACAACATTTTAACAGGACATTCTTAATTCAGATATCTAGGGTATCCTCATCAGCTGTTAACATACAATCCGGGGAATTATGGTGTTACGTTTAAAAGGAAACAATGTTGAAGGTCATTCTGTGTAAATGTGAAACAATCACAAATACGGCGTTTCATGTACACATCCAAGCATCACAGCCATACATATTCATAACTACAAAGATTCAGATATACCTATGATGTTGATCCATATGCCACTGCTCAACTTTTAACGGCATTTACATTTACCAGTCCACAACGTTTGGACCAGCATGACCATGCATATGCAAGTGTGTCTCGCACTGTCGAGAATAAGACATTTATTTCTCAAAGAATCTTACCAAGGCAATGCGAGACTGGTCATAAACTCAGTCTGTTTGCACAAACTGGGTTTCAGCCTTCGAACTGCTGAAACAGGCGAGCACTGCTCTGTCAGTTAATTATTCTGAACAATTCACGGGGATTTTGACATTTGGATAAGTCTAAGGTGTGCTGAGCCATGGAGCTAGCCGTCAGGATGGGACAGTTCGCGATCATATGACGTGGAATGTGCTCTTAAATCCTACTCGACAGCTTTCTCTCAGTTCGGCCCAAGTACTTGCTACCACAAGTACAATGAAAGAGGCAAACACGCGAAGTGATAACTAAAGGGCCTGGCTTGCCCAACTTGAACGTAAATAGCAGCTTGCTTACTTGGTGCAGTAACACAAGTTCAGCCGCGTAATAACACTTCATTATCATCTGGCGGAGACGGTACCGAAAACTTCCGTCATTTTGGTCCCCTTTAAACGGTAGCGTAATAAACCCTATTTGCTTATGGAGGTCAGTCAGTCGCTTATCTCTGCTTTATGTGTTGCGTATCGTGCTATAAATCTCTCGTAAAAACCCGAGAGATTCATAGCAGGACGCGCAAACACAGAAGGCAGGAAGATGGGAATCATGCTGATACAAGTAGCAAAGAACGACAAAGCCCTAAGCTATTCAGATTCATCCTTCATTCTCAATAAAGAGCACGCCGTTTGGCACGTAGAAAAATGTTGTGGTAAAGGGACGAACCTCTTCAACCGTGTGGTGCATTGCAAATAAGCATTGAGTGATGGTGAGGGAATTAAGACAGTCGATATAAGCCAGGTCACAAAGTCTGAGACATGGAGTAACTTCTAAGCAGTTGAGCCGTTTTACAGGGCGGCTTTGATGAAGCTAGACAACAAACTGCATAACAATCACCGCACAGCACAAGTAACACCAAGAGGGGTCAGGGAATCGTTACACACAGCGAGCCAGTCTGAGGTCTGACGATGTAGCCAGTTGAGAAAACGAGTGTACGTTTCGGTCGCATGGCTTCAGATCAAACAATTACAAAGAGTAGCCCTGTCGATCGAGACAAGCAAGTTCCGACGTCTAAGACGAAAACAATAAATGACCTCGTAAACATTTAGTCACGTTCAGGCATACGGCAAAGGACGGAAATATGATATATGGAGCACAGAGCCGGGTGGAGAGTGGCCAGTTATTCATTAATACTTTGCCGGTGCATCCAACCGGATTTGCGTCTGCTGGCGCACGGAATAGCTTAGATACAATGCGTAAGAGAATCATCCACGATAACTAGTTATAGTTGAAAAGCAAGGAAATGCTCTTGTATTCCATTCAGATGAATAATTATAGACTCTAAAAACTTTGGAATAAGTGAATTCCGTATATGGGTGAGCTCCTTTGATCCGGATGAGTTAGAACGAAACGAGCGATTTTGAAAGTCGAAATGCGCGAGACACCGAGGCCATACATAATACACCGACTTGGAGGGAATGATTAGAGCTATGAGCGACGTGTAGTGATCCAGTTGAGCTGCGATTAGTGCTTAGTCTAGCGTGCAGGATGGCCCATTTTCTAATCAAGCGCATTGCAACCTATAGGGAGGCGTACATGAAAAATGATCTGCTGAAATGCATCGAGCTAGTTCGACCAGATAGTGAGATGGGTGGTTCCAGTGACGACAAGGAAGTCACGGGACGTTAAATGGTCACGCACATTTAAGCCACCAAAGAAAGCCCATGAATGTATGTTTGGTTTAGATTTCACGCATTTAATCGATAGATGGCAGACACACTGTAAACGAGGTGGCTTTAAGGACGAAGCACAGTAAAGACCGTGACAACCAAAGCTCCGCTTCGGATCAGTAAATACAGCAGATGAAAGCCGGAGTGATGGTGTGTGGTTAACATCCCGTGTACACAGAAAAGTAACGAAACGGTGTTGCGGTGAGTGCAAACGTTGTTAACTGGGAAGGGTGAATCCCGAATCTCAGGGTTAAAGGAGGTATGGGTAGTTAAAAAACCTACGGTTGCAAGACAACAGCTAAAAAGCCAATAAGAACTCTTCACGCTGCTGCTGCTGCTGGTGTCTCGTCGGCCGAGTAATGGTCGGAGTGCCGAAATACAATGGATTCATAGCAGCAATGGAAGAATAGAGAGAAGGGATACAAACATGCGGGTAAATATATAAGGAAAAAGGAATGCTGGGAAATGTGGAATTTCTAGACGGAAATGTTGATGATAAGAGGCAAAAAGGGCAAGTAAAGGAGCCGTTGACTTTGGAACAACGATGATGTTGAACTTGTGGGTCACACCAAGGAAGACAGTATGCGCTAGCCTAACCGAGTTTTGCGGTTGATTTCTTCGTGCCTCCTTGTTACAACATCGGCTGACAACCATGGGATCGCACTCCACCAGACGCATTGTTGACAAGAAATGTACGTCGAGGAAGACATGGATAAGAGCGATCAAATCGTCGTAAACAACACAATCTCCGATGACGATCGGGTGCAGTGCGAGGTGTCGCAGGAAATCAAAGGTGAGATTACAAAAGACACAACTAATTGGTTAGTGCGATGAAGCAATGCAGGGACCAGGAAGCTTTGGAACGGAGACGTATAGTAAAGACTAGAAGAAATGAACGTGAAACCGCGCGTCCATCTTAGTAGTTAGTAAAGTGTAAAAACCCGCTCTACGGAAGATGGGTAAGGACGAAGTGTGTGCAGTGAAGACAGTGTGGGAATCGAATACGATGATGACGAGGATCCACTTGCCAAACAAAGTCAGCACACATTGCAGCCAGGTTACAGGCAGAAACACGCAACCAACCAAAGTGACGATCGGATGGACAATGATGACATATCAACAATACATCTATCAGACTTTGCATACAAGTAGTAGGTAAAGCGCATAAAATGTCGCCTTCCCGAAATATGTTGTAAACCGGCAGTCACCTGCCGAATGAAGCACTCAGCAGAATTGTCAGAAATTGATAATGACCGATCGGGAGGCAACATGTTGGGTACTGAGCAAACGACAGGTAAACTAAGAAAAAGTAAACGCATTCATGTGGGTGTAAGAGGTGAGCAGACTTACCTTGAGCAAGCTTGAACTAGTTTTTCCAACACATCTTCGGTAATCTCACGACAACGACTAATCCGCAAACAGCGTAGGCATTTCGCTGGAGTTTCGATAAGATATGATAAGCTGGAAACAAATTTGGTGCGTCATTCGAAGCCACCTCAGGGTATTTATTCAAGGTGAAATAATCAGTAAACTAAAATGTACTAGAAAGGGAGAATACGAAGACCAGTATAGCAGTGATGACTCCTGCTAGAGAAGCGACAGTAAAAATATTATTGTGGTAACAGACCGGTTCGGCTCAGTTAAACAACTCGGGTCAGGGCATCCAAGTGCGATGGATTCCGCTGCAGTGGGGCGCGTCGGCAAGGTGACAATAAAAAACAATGGTAAGAAAATAAGGTCGAACGCAAATAGAATGCAAAGAAAAAGCGGTTAAGAGAGAAGTGCATAAAAGCAAATGGGATGCAGTGAATATTAACAGACAGACGCAAGAACCTGCGACACGGCGTCCAGTTGGTTAGAGTTTCAAACCACTGACGTAGACGAACCCGGAAAGCCCATCCACGCAGACGCCACAAACCAGTGTGCATCCATGCCACGTCATCGACTGGTGATCTGGAGAGAGGCGGCTTCGAATGCACATCGAGGAAGGCGGTCAACAGGCACACGGATGACATGACCTAGCCAACGTAAGCAATTGAGCCTTAGCAAACACACGAGTGAGGTACCAGAGTTTCTTGCCAGACAAGGCGCTCTCAAAGTTCCTACCAGGTATGAGCGATACTCCACACGTACTAATGATCAAAGACAGTGAATCGCTTAATGTCTTCAGTGCGAAAGCGCAGTCTTTGATCTAATACAGTGACACCGGATTTATCACAGTCTTATACACCTTAAGTTTCTCTGGCAGGCTGATATCCCGTCGTCTCCATAGATGGTTGAGCCTCTAGAAAGCCACATGGGTCTTGCTGATATGCAAGGTAAGTTCCTCTGTGCTGGGACTACCAACAGTGAACCAATCTACCACCTCCAGTGGTTGTTCGCTGATAGCTATAACCGGTGACGTATCGACCCAGTCCCGCAACAGTACTTTGTATTTTGGAGGTGCGAAGCATATGCCGAGGTGTGCAGCGCTACACGTCAGTCTATTCAACGGTGCTTGCATAGCCACTTCGTCAAACCCAAGGAGAGATCTGTCCTCCGCATACTCAGGATTTGTCAGTCGTTCACCTGGCAGGACTTTCGCCTCGGAAGAGACTGAAAGAAAGGAGTCATTTATGATCATTTCGATGAACAAGATTCTTGTTCGTTGGATTTCATGGTGCACTGAAATTACTTCGTGGAAATTATGATAGTATCCAGTTTCCAACTACACAAACTTGAGTCAGCTCTGGCTAATTTCTGAGATATTAGTATCGCTTTGTGCTCCACAATTTGTTGCTATTTGGGTCTGGTAATGCTCTTAATTCCGGAACAACCACATTGCGGCGCCTATTTAAAAAATGTCGGACATCGTGCAAATACAACTAACATTTAGCATGTGTCGCATTAAGTCCGACACCTTATGTAGTGCATTAGCAATCGAACAATCAACTTTGTGAAATCCAATACAATCTTGAGGATTGCCGAAACAAGATATAGCCAGAAAAAGCAGAGTAGAGTTACAAGCCGGTGGGTAGGCTGAATCATCCCGTTGCGACCAGCTCCGCATGTTTGACCCAACAAGCTGTTCCGAAGCGTCTTCAAGTTCCAGATCAACCTTCTGCTTTTCATGTGTCAACTCATTGGCACAAAGTCCCGCCGTTGCGAGCAACCCAGTATTACCTGACAATTGATTACGCCACTATGGCGTGTCTAGCATAGTCGAGAATAAAAAGTTATTGATTTAGTTATAATTGTCTACCTGTGTTGTGTTCTACGGGCACTGATGTTCCAGTGCGTGAAAGTCTGAGTACTGAACCCCAATGAAAAGCAGGAGGGAAGAAAATACAGAAAAATGAATGAGTTCAAGCACCGGAACTCAAACGCTGGCCGAACCCCGTAAGACTCGGGATAACCCTCATCCTGCTGGACCACCGTCGCGGACCACAGCTGTTTTGACCATGTGATCTTCCACGCCGCTGATTCCAGTGATCTAAATCCATAGATGCACTACGACAATTAGTCTCCGGTCGAGTAGATTGTCTTCAACATGTTTACTGAGTGTGATACTGACACCATTAATGTCTTGAGCCAATGACTCAACATAATCATTATACACGTCAGCTGCAGGTGGAAAAGATCTCAGCTAGTGTACCGCAATACAGAAGAAAAGAAAAAAACAGGAAACAGTGGCACACCGGCTGAGTCACCAGTAACGGATGGACATCGTTCCGAAGAGGTAACAGTCGGTATTTTGCCGCAAAAAGAATTATATTATGCATAATAAATGAGATCGTAGTTGGAGGGGAAGGCTGAGCGGAAGGAGGAGGGACAAAGAAACTCACAACACAAACGCCATTGAGGTCGGCTCCTAGCCATATCAGCAAGTGTGTTCATCGTCTTTCGGACCCCAACCAGGGAACCGAGAGGCTCCAACCGAGGCCAGCTTCGAAGTGAGGACCTTCACTCCTCTCGACCAAGTCATCGCTTGGCCACCTCTCCTCTTCATCCATCCACACCCACGGCACGCAAACAACGCACGTCACGGGAGTTGGTGGGCTGGCATGCGCAACGCGTGGCCCAGCCATCAGAGCCTGGTGCTTGAAATAACGATGCTGAGCGGTTCATTTCCTTTTCTTGTGCCGTAAACAATGCGTCGAACACGCCTATTGCTCACTCGGCGTTCCCACCAGATATGAGCTAAACTGCGAAGGCACCCCATCGTAATGAGACTAGACCTTACCGTGGTGCGATGGTTTGAGTGCCTCAGCGATCCATCGACCTATGCTTGGTAGTGCATTTTTTCACCTTCAAAGTCACTCATACCAGAATGGTCAATGGTTAGAGGCCAGACAAACTCAGCCTCCTGGTCCTCCAGGTTAGGGGTTGGAATGAGGGTGGCTCCTTATTCCTTAAAACGTACTCCTTGTAGCCCAACGTCAAACCCGATGCCTTGCGGTTAGGTTTATGAACCAAAGGCTTTGGTTGAGAACCTTAATTGTTCTCCTGTTTAGGCCTGGACAACCTGACAGTATCCTGCCCACGCAATACAATGAATTTCTCTTCAAACAGTTTCTTGATGCTCTGGCCACCGCAGAGGATAATCAACGGTGCAATATATACTGCATCGAGCAGGGTGGATAGGGGTTTGGATGCTAGTGCTCAAGCCTTCCCGTCTTCTTATTCCCACTCTGACGCTTTTTCTCTCTTACCGTCCTGTTCCAGCTTCACTTTTATGCCCCTGTTTTCAACCCCCCAATTCCTGGCCCTCTCCCACCTTGCTTTGCTAGGCTTTTACCTTCTATACCATTTTACACGCAGGTTGGCGCATTGTACGAAGCCTTTAGAGTGGCACATTTTCGAAATCGCGTGCAGTGCTTTCAAGTTAGCGAGGCTAGGAACGCCGTTTTGGTGTTGCTGACATTCTCATTGATCATGGGAGGTTAGCCAATGGGACACCGGTTAAAAATCTCGAGCATAAGCGACAGACAGTCCAATGAAAGTGGTCGAGCACCACCTTCTGTTCTAGTTTGATGCCTATCTGAAGGAAACCTCGCTAACCTAAAAGCACTGTACGCGATTTCGAAAATGTTCCACGCTAAAAGCTTGGTACAATGCGCTAACATGCTTGCAAAACGGTGCAGTTTCAACACACATGTGAACGCGGAGCGTCATTCCTGCCCTGTCGGTAAGCCCATGGCCAGGCAAGCGGTCAAGCCCGGTTCACCGACTACCATTTGGAGCCCTCGATCATCCTTCAGGTTGGCATGCCTCATTGTTCGCACATTGCTTCAGATCGGTCAACAGGCAGCACTTGCCCGAACATTAGAGACTCTCTCGATCGATATCTGCTGCTTATCGGAGACCCGCCTGCAAGACTCGAGCTCTGTGCTCACTCTGCGATCCCCTTCAGCAACAATCCCAGATGGAAGCACAAATGAAACTGATTGAAAGTTTAACGCAGTGCTTAAACGTACAATCAAACGGAGCAGCTACACGGGACACGTAGGCTGTTTCACTTGATCTTCTTACGAATTCAATCACTGAATTTCATTATGATGCTGATTCCGAATGCACTTTCGAGGCCTGGTTCAAACGTTGGGAGGATATGTTCCAGATGGATTTCAGCCGTCAAGATGATTCATGGAAAATGCGTCCTTTGCTCCGCAAGCTCGGTACTAATGAACATACAAGATTACTTGACCACATATTGCCCAAAGAGCCGAAGGACATCACTTTCAACGAAGCAGTGGCAACACTCAAAGAAATTTTTGATGAGTCGACATCTTTGTTTAGCATTCGCTATCAATGTCTAAAAATGGTAAAGCGTGATACAGACGATTATGGGGCACTAGCAGACATGGTTAACCGTTAATGTGAACGTTTCAAGTTACGCTGTTTGACGGATGACAAGTTTAAGTGTCTTATATTTGTCAGTGCATTACAGTCTCCACGCGACGCGGAAATCCGCACTCGGCTCCTTGCTAATTTGGATCAAGACCCAGATTTGACATTGAAGTCTCTTGTAGGCGAATGCAAACGGTTAATTACCTTGAGACACGACACGGCTATGATTGAGCAGAGTCGCCCCACCATTGCCGATACTGTTCATGCTGTGCAAAAAACAAGAAAGCCTGGCTCGAATAAGTCGTTCAACAGAAAGCCGAACAAGCAGCCTACACCTTGTTGGTCATGTGGTGAATGGCATTTCGCACGATACTGTCCGTTCAAGCGTCATATTTGTGATTAGTGCCATAAACGCGACCACAAGGAAGACTTTTGCCATCAGTCCCAGCCAAGAAATGTGAAGCAGTCCTACCGAAGGAAGAATTTCAGAAAACCTGAAGCAGAATCACTATCGGTGATTGCTACGTTTCACAGCGATTCTAAAACACGCCGCCGATTTATCACTGTGCTTATCAACAGAATCCCAACCCGGCTGCAGTTTCGATACGGCATCACATAGAACGATCACTTCCAAG